CCACATTATCGCTTACTTTTTCTTTTTCAGTTTCAAATTTTGTTAGTATAATTGTTTGAGTAAAGAAACAAAAACAAACAAGGGTAATAAAAATTATGCAGAAAAAGATTTAAAAAAAATTTTGAAGTGAATTCGAAGAACATTTAATTACCACCAATTTATTGTAAAAATGGACCAACAACGACTAACGTCATTTCCACTTCGGTATTCCCGAAATGTTCCCCGGTATCCATGGTTAATGCACCGGCACCTATACCAAAGCCAACCCCTTTAGGGCCGTATTTTCGACTGTGGCATTGTTTACAGTATAATTCAGCTTGATGTTCACAGCAATTTGTTGAATCAAGTAATCTGTTACACATAGCTGCAAACAGTGGTTAAAGATGAGAATACTGTGATTACTGATAAACTGATAATGACAATTTGAACAGACTGTCTATGGAAACGTTAGTTTAAATTATTAATTCCCACAATCAAAAATATATCCGTTGCCAATCAGTACTTTATAGTTTCCATTAGGTATGAATCAAAACAAAACAAATAGATTGTTAGTGTCCTTCGAGTTTTCGGACATCTCTTCTTGGTCGATTTCAGACTTATTGCTACCGAATAAAATGGCGGATATTTGAGAGAACATCGATTCGTCTCAAAAAAAGCAAACTTTTCTAAAATAAGATTTAGAATAAATATAAGCCAGCACTAAGTAAGCAAACTATTGACTTTCTAAATTTGCAGACCCATAAAAACAAAAAAATAGATGTAATGAAAGGATTACCAAAATTCGAGATGATTTTGAAATGGAAGAGAATAGATTGGAATTTTATCAGGAACTCAAAATTAGGCTGCCTCTTTTTAGCTTATTTTTCGTCAGAATTAAGCCTAAACCAAAACACACAAAAATTTGGTATGACTCAGAATTTCCAATCTTTTCCATCACAAAATCTCTTCATCGTTTCTTCGTGTACTTTTAGGATGAACTTTATTTTGTGATTAAATATGTGCAGCAATTCAACTGTAAAATTTAACACAGATAATTAGTTAATTTCATCAATCATGCATATCATGTAAGATTGCAAAGTCATTAATTATTTCACCGTAGAACATCAATAAATTTTTCTCTGGCTCTTGTTATCTGACCAGGGTGTAAAGGTCAAGTGTGAATCAATCAAAATCAATTAAAGGAAACTAACCACATTTGAAGCAAAACTTATGCCATTTATAACCACCAGCATTCATTTCTTCTGCAGCATACACTGATTTACCGCATTTCGGACATTTCGGATGTTCCACCGGTTTAAATGGCATTTTTAACAGTGAATAGACTTTAGGCCTGACAAAGAAGAACTTTATGATAAAATTAACGATAAATATTTGTGTGAACGATCAACGAAAAACATTCCCGTACTTTTTTCCTGCATCAATTTCACGGCAACAATAGCACATATCTTTCGATCATACCTCATGTTCTACAATATGATCGGAAGATATGTGCTAAAAGAAGAAGAATTAAATTAAATCAATAAACATCTTTTTGTCAGTCTACAAAACTCTTCAATTGTTTTTTCTTTTTGCTGGAGAATTTCGTCGTTTCAACTATTTAAAAGTTTTTAATAAAAATGAAGCTCAAGTTGTGAAAAAATGAGTGGCATGACGTTTTTGCTCCAAAATTCAATTTTTTCCAAATACACTTATCTGCCACAATAAACAACACACTGATATTAACAGTTTAAGCACAGAGCTTTTAAACATACACCAAACGATTAAGAACGATTATAAAAATGTATTGATGAATTAATAATTTAAAAAAATGAAAACGAAAGATCAAAATTCTACAATAATACTATTAATTCTACTTATTAGAATGTGTTATTTGCTAAGCACAGATATTATAAATCAGTCTAAGATTTTTAGCTCCGAACTAAATGAAGTTAACAAAATATACGATGTTAAATAATGAATTTGTTTCTGAAAGAAATCTAAATGATATTATGAAACGACTTCTTAGATAGATTACACTCTGAAAGTCTACAAAAAAATATGCAAATGATTTACAAGTAATATTATAGGAAAAATTGGGAAATATGAGATATAAGCAGTGCAAAGATTTAATTTTCAAGAACGATTTTAAACCATAGGATACTTAAATACGTCATATGTAATCAATATCCCTTCTTCACTCACCTCTTCCGGTTAGAAAACTTTTGCCTAACAAATTAATTGCAGAGTTTGGAGAAAGTTAACATAGCAAGATTGCTTGCAACAATTTTTGAAGAAAAATTGTTGCAAAAAACGGATGTTGTCATTTCACATCAGTAAAGACTAAACGTCTGAATTGTTGACTGTTAGAATAGTAGCTGTCACTAACTTATTCAAATGTAATACGACTAGAATACTTACAATCACAACAGGTCTATCGAGTATTCTTTTATGAAGATAAGTTAAAAATAGATTGCAAATCATATAGAATCCAGTTTGGTAGAAAAGTTAACTGTAAATTGACAGAAGTAATGACTATGACAGTGGAAATTATCGTTGTTGGTTAGAAGTAAACAGCAGCGAAGTAGAAGATACGATCTATCTGGTCCTGTAGGGTTCAACTAATTCTTACCACTTCTCTTCCCTCACATCGATAGCAAAGTACCTTAGAAATGCGATTAGTCAAAGAAAGTAAGAAGAGAAGTGGCAATGAGAATGTGAAAAGTATTAGGATGAGATGGCGATACAACAGACGAGATTGAGATGAGATGACGATACACATCGAGATCGAGATGAGATGGCAATACAATGATCGAAACGACGAGAGATAGAAAGAATAAATCTATCTGCTCAATTTATGTCAAATATTGTTCGAGAAAAAAATGAAAGCAAAAATAATAAAATATTTGCGGACATCAAGCAATTTTGAAATGAAGAGCCTAAAACGCAAAGATAGCCATGCGTTGATGAAATAAGCCTGAAACGATAAATTAAAGAATTAAAGTGAAATGATTTAATGGTTCATGTTATGTTCTATGGAAAAGTGATATTAGACTATGTCCATGTATGATCATTAATGGGAAAACTTGGCTATTCAATTGTTGCAAAACACTCTTAGTAATGAATATCATATTGGAAGCAACACGTTTGAGCTCAAATAAAATTTTATTAATCGGCGATTTGCCTTATTGTTGAAATTAAAAGGATTAAAAAATGATTAAGAGAAAGTGAAAGAATCGAATACAGCCTTAATTAATTGAATAATCACTTGTTCTAATGCAACAGATTTTGCGGAACAGTTGGCATTTCAAAGGTAGCAAACACACTGCTTCGTTTTGCCTTCTTAATTGCGAGCGCGTTTTTGTTCATAATCAGATTTTCTTGATAAGATCTAATATGGTTAATAACAAAGTTTTTTAACTTTGAAATAGAGCTCATCTTCCAGTTACAAAGCACAAAAGTTTCATCTTTCAATCATTTTTGATTAACATTTTCTGTCAACAACATATAAATATTGTAAATTCACAGAGAGATATTTCAAATCTTGAAAACTTCTCAATCTCAATTTTATAAAAAAAAATGAAATTGTAGATAAATGAGAGGAATGGTAAAAAGAATTGATCAGGATTGATTCACTCATCATCTATCCACTAACCATTCAACTAGTGTATAAGCCACCGCCATGCTATCTGCAGTAAAGCGTCGCTCGAATTCCTTCTTTTTTGCTCATCTCTCATCATTTCTCGAAAAGTTCAATCACATCTGGACACTATCCATCCGCTAATACGCAAAATTACTAACAATTATCCCTTCTCAATTCAGCCAAATGAGCGTTACCATTTCCTTCCGTTACAACCAATACCGACTGGCGCAGTAACACACAGTGATTAACATAATATTTACTTGTGTGATCATCAATTCGTCACTGAGATTAGTAAGATTTAACAGAATATTTGAGTGCTTAATGAAAATAGTAGCAAGAAATAATTCAAACATTTCTCTTTTCTTTTCAGGAAACACTTAAATCTTTTAAAGTTAAATTTTTTTATCCATTTAAATAGAAATCTTTTATCTGATACTTTTCATTTCTCAATTAAATTCAAATAACACTTTAATTTGATTCTTTTAACTCTAATCACATTTATTATAGCTATAGCTCCGAATCTAGCCAGTCTTCTAATACTTCCCATCACCGATTAATTAGTAGTTATGTCGTAATAGTAATTGAAAGCAACATCCTTCTTTATCTCAAAACTGACTTCAATTGCTCTCTCATCTAATTAATGAAGCTGTTTAACTTCCTTCTTCATCATCCTCAATCTTAAACTCACCATATTCTTTTCGCCCAGATGGTTAACTATGTCCAAATTCCTAATCTCATCGAAAATTTAAATGTAAGAAAATATCAAGGCAAAAAAAAGGCTTTTACAGTTTGCCCTGTCACTAAATAACTCATATTTTAACAAAAAAAAATTAAAACAAAATCAAATAAGCTATCACAGGTAGAATAATATTATCCATGGCAGGTAATCCAGCTTCAAAAAGGGCGCATATAAGTGAGCAAAATAAAATCCTAAGTAAATGATAAATCCCAATATCACATTTTAAATAATATAAACATATTAGAATAGAAAAGGTAAATTGGCCAAGAGCAAATGCAACACTTCCTTCCACTGTTTTCTGTGATTTTGGCCAATGTAAACGTCCATACTGTGAACCAACAATTGCTGACAAACTGTCACCAACACCAACTGTAGCAACACCCGCGAAATGATACAAATGACGATACTCTGTAATAGTGTTCACTCTCCTTCTTTATTTACTTATTGATTAATTGTTTGCTTTTTTTTTGTATCCAACAATGAAGCAAAGGAACATCTCTTCGTGCCCACTTCACATTGATATGTTAGCATAAAATAAAACTATATTTTCTCTCATCTGTTTTGAAAATTTGACATTATTCTCCTGTAATTTTCCGTTCTATTATACAAAATATAAGAAGAAAATTCTTTAATGCAAAAGCTGGAAAAAAGAAAACTAAATTCTGAGAAATTAAATTAATTTTCATGAACATAGAAAAATAATATTATAGAAAATCAGAATCATCTGATTAATAAATGTATCTTTTTTATTTTATTTAGCCCTTTAACTTCCCAAAAGGTGCTCACAATTGCGAATAAAAACATAAATTGAAAAAAGTGAACTAAAAAACAAAAAAGAAGTGGAATAGCAAATTTGAAATAGAAAGGTATACCGTTATTATTGATAGGTGAAAGGAAAAGAGGCAAAAATATTCCAGCCAATAGATAAATAGGAGTTAAAATAAGTTCTGGTGAGTCTTGTTTATCGATGAAAATCAATAGCCAACTATTTAGATATGCTGACCATGGTGATACATGTTTAGAACGGAAAATCTGAAATCGGAATATGAATAATTATCAGATAAGCGGTTCCTTAAAGCATTTTTGTAACATCAAATATGTAAATTTATAAAATGAGAAATTCGAAAGAGTACCTTCTCAATGAAACAATACTTCCTAGCGTCTAATATGAATTAAATAATTAGTAAAAAGTAATAATTCTTAAACTTATCTATAAAAAAATCTTTCAGAAAAACAAAGATTGAAATTTTATGACAAAAAAATTCAACGAATGAACTCACCTCAAGAATTACAAAAGCACAAAGCATCAACCAAGCAGAAAACCAAATTAACTCAAAATCATACTGAATACCAGTTGTGCAGACTAGTGATACTGTAAAATGGAAGAATTTCCGACGAACTGTTGAGCTATGCGATAAATTGACAATAATGCAAAATATCAACGTTGCACTGATACATATCCAATAAAATAACAACAGGTAGTATCTTAAAAATTTGAAATTTAATGTCAATTCTGATTTTAATCCTCTGAGATAGCAAATATGTGCGATATTTTCTTCAATTTTTGGATGAAATGAATGGCAAAATAACAGTATTCTTATCAAATTTAAATATAAGCATTCTATTCTCTTTCTTTATTCATTAACAACTTTGAATTCAAAAATATGAATAAACAAAAATAAGTCCTATATTTATTTATCACTGAAACACACAATAGATATGTAAATTGCCAAACCTTTGATCTGTTCCATCAAGAATTCGTTTGTAAAATAATACAGGTAGACTGTAAAAATGTACATTTAATCGAAGTGAATAAAGATAAAGAGAAGATGAGACTGTGATGATAAATAAAAAATTAATGTACATCGAATTTCGTCTCATTTTCGTAGTCAAAAATGCAAATAAAATTGTCGCAGCAACAGCAATTTCCACAAGTATCCGATCGGCATTCCTTTGCATTGACATGACCAAAATTTCTTAACAGATTTTAATTTTTCAATGAAAAATCAAAATAAACCAAGCTACTGAGAAGGAAAAATGAAAAGCTAATATATAATTCTTTGGAGAAATAAATGTAAAAAAATTTTTTCAGAATTTCGAATTAAATTAATCATAATAGGTAAGTTGTTATCATCGTTGTAAAATTGAGTGTAAACAACCAACGATCAAAGAAAGAAAATTCTCGCTGAACACAAATCGCACAAGAATTGATTTCAAATAATCCATTGCCAAGTAGCCTATCCGAAGGTCAAAAAAATTACTGAATCTCAAAAAATGAAAACACAATCTTGTCCAGCACTTGTAGGATAACTAACGGTTTAGGTGATAAGAATTATCCATACATTATGTTTAAACAAATTTCAGGTTTGCACTTACTCAACAACGGATATTCCCTTATTACTTTGAAATCTAGATTTCTAAGTTCTTCCGAATTTAAGCAATGCCGCCCGTTTAACTACCCAGATTTCTGAGTCTACATTACCATAATACCGGGTTCTTATGAATAAATTTAAGAATTATTGATATTTTTTCTCTTTGTTTACAAAACTTGTATTGTCTTCAAAACACTATGAAATTAGAAATGTTATTTATGCAAGATATAAGTACGCACATGGATATTCAAAAGTATTACTTAAATTAAAGTTTTTCTTTTATTAGAAATTTGTAGAACATATATATTAACCAACTCTTTCCTATATTGCACTGAATCACTTCAAAATCTCAGATTAATCCAGTGACGATATTTATGTAAAAAAAAGATTCTGAACAGGCTACTTAGATAGATCACATTGAATTACCATACAGCTTTGCCAATATTAACAAAAGTTTTTAGCAGTAATTTGAAAAATAAACAATGAAGTCCAACGCGAGTTTCGATGAAAAACAAACAAGCAGAAAAAGAAAAGAAAACTGACAGCTCATTTGCAAATTAACAGTAAAGCACAGATAGGAGAAGGCAATGAATGAATAAAATCAAGATAGTGTATAAGAGCTTAATGATAAAGTGAAAGAGAAGTAAGTGAGTTAACAGTAATATGGCAGTAATATTAGGACTGAATGTCACAACAACACTGCTCAAATTAATAAGGAATTAAATAATACATGTAGATAAATTGCATTTTTCGGTAACGGTTTCAAATTATTAACAATCAAACACAAGCAAATCGTGAATTTTTATTACAAAACTTACACGCGGTTATATATGGAAGAAATTACGTCACTTCCAGAGAAAGGCACTAAATAAGAAATCTCAAAAGCAGAGAAATTGGAGAGAAATTTCAAAAGCAGGATAGGAATATCAGCTCAGATGAAAAATTTATCAATGAACATGAATTCTCACAACTATTGGACTGATAATGATTTCAAACTGCAAAGTCTGAAATCATTATCAGCCTTATTTTACAACTGCATATTAACCTTTTAATGGTAAGAGGTTTTGACGTTTTGGAATATGCAATTCTAAGGCACTCAAATGATCATTTAAACTTCTAAATTATCAATATTGTACATCAATTGGAAAAAAGTTAACTCATTATATAAAATTTCGGAAGTATCAAAGATAAGTTCTTCCCTCACTTCATTCACTTTACTGCCCACATACTGAGATAACGTATCATCAATAATTGTGCTCAACTGACTGCGAAAGAGATCCGTTGGAGCAATATCTCCGGGAAAGCAGATCACAGACGCCTGTTGCAGTAATTCATCGCGCAACTGTCGCATAAAACTATCGTCAGCGATCAATTCGCTATGTTGCCGAATCAATGGTAAGATCCCGTCGATAATCGTACAAATATCATTTTCTAATCCTGCAACAATTACACATATCATTAATTTCGCTTTATTTCGTTCAACTTTCCCACTCAGGTGGACAAAGTTTCAAAAATTTTATGGCAATACAGTGTGCCTCATCGACGGTTCTCTTCTCCACTGAAATCAGCTAACCTAACCCATCTAAAAATAATAACCCATCTAAAAATAATATTTACATTTTTTTGAAAATTTGATAAATGACAAAAAAGGAAGAAAATCCAACAAATGAAACATAATACTTCTTAAAATTTCCACGACGTGATTTGAAAATGAACAAAATTTATGACGGTGGTCATTTATTACCTCTTGAAATGAGAACTTAAGGTTCCAGGTGGTAGTAGTAATTACTTAGCTTTTATAACGTCATAGCTCAGGCTTCTAGCAATCATTTACCCTCCATTAATTACAATAGCAGTAATACTAGTAACAGACTAATAAAAAAAAATAATAAGAGACATTACAAAAAATTATTCTACACGATATGAGATATCAGAATTCAGACTTGAAACATTTAGTGTCCGATTAGCTTTGGAAGAGATAGCAATATTGGTAATAATAGTTCTATCACTCTTTTTCCTTCTTTTTTTCATTGTTCCATTTCTTATGTTGCCTAATTCCTTTTTCGTTTATTGGTCTGTTAAAGTACAACCATTAAATCCTGGGCAAAGCCCGAGCAACTGAAACTCCAGAAACGATGAGGGCTGTATGGTGCCAAAAAATTGAATCATATAAAACAATATAAGTTAAAGACAAGAAACTAGGAAATGAATTACAGAATTGCTCTCACCATGTTCGATATCCGATTTTTTAAGTTGCTGTTGTTGTTGTTGTTCATCAACTACCACTTCAGTTCTATTACGTACTTTTTCCAACGTTTGTTGCTTTCTCAACTTTGCCCTACCAGTAGATAATTGTCGCTTTGCTTGCTCAAATTTCTATAATAAAAAACAGCTAAAACAGATTGAATTACTAATTTGGAATTATTTTTTGTCTTTTTCCATCCTTTCCTCAATTATACAGTGCAGTATTACACAAAAATCAAATTATATTCAATATTTTTTAACAAATAAATTGATCACAAATGAACAGTAACGTTTAGATCAATGATAATCCCACATCATTCTAAAATGACTAATCATCACTTTCTTCATCTTTCAGAAACGATAGATTGTAAATATCTGATATTCAAAAACCCTATGAGAAGCAAGCATGAAGTATAATGTATCTAACGTTAAACTGTACAATATAGTAGGCCGTTGCACATCCATAACAGCTCTTACTCATTCCAGTTGAACTTCTTAATTCCTATATGTAATGACTTCAAATGCCGTCAAAGTCGAGGACTTACCGAAACTTCATCTGGTGTCAATTCACGGCTCAATCCACGCTCAAAACGATTAGTTGAATCAGCATGGATGAGTTTAATCAATTCCGTTGCTTCCTGTGATTCCGACTCAACCAATGCTAAATCACGGCTGTCATCGTTTGTATCATTTGGACGCTGTAACCTTATTTTAATCTTGGTTTGAAACTATGCAAAATACACATTTAATTCATCCAGTGCCAGTAAAAATTCAAAATTCAGCTATTTATATGAAGTGTCTCATTGCGTTTCAAAATGCGAATGCATTTTTACTATTTAAATACTTATAATGATTACATTTGCTTGGTATCGTACACATTCTTCCTAACTTTCTACTGAAATCATGACGCTAGCATTCCGCAAGATAAGGACAAACTTAACCAAAAAAATTTTTTAAATTTCTTTCAATTTCAATTATCCACATGCAGTCTTCATGGAACTGCATAACTACTCAGCCTTCGTTAACTTCTACTTGTAAATATGAGCCGACAATTTATCAAAAAATAATGCGATAAAACCAGTAAGTCATTTAGTTTATATTCATTTACAATTCAGGCATAGAAGAATACTGTTTATTCTCTTCCTGAACTGAGACAGAAGATTACTAAAAGAATTTGTTTTTCTTTTGAATACTTCTTTTTTGATTAAAAACAAATCACCACAACTGCACAGCCAAAGGGAACAAAGATAATAACCACATGCAAGTTGTAAGTTTCACTGCAGAAAATAATTTAAGCCGATAGGTTTTAGAAACATGCCTTTTTATGAAACTGAACAAAAAACGAAGTGGAACCCACAAAGTAGAAAGTAAGATGGTGCATGTACCTGCAGGCATGGTTAGGGACGTCTGCTCTGCGGTTGTAGCGTCCAGCCTAAGTGAACCTTAGCCCAGCTTAATCAATTTCTAAGACTGTGGCAAAGCATTCACTTAACTGGCCAGCTCACCTAGCATCACTTTTTTGAAATAAAAACTTTAATATTTCAATAAATGATTATGCAACAACAGTTGATTGCTACTGCATTAATAAACAACAGCAGCTACTACAATATCAAAACAATCACCACAACAATCAGCAATCCCAACCAAAGCAACAGTTAATAAAACAAAATTGCTGTGCTTTACAATAGTCTTCCAAAACACTAAATTGAATGCGCAGATGTCACAAGCCGAAGTTTGCAACGCCTGCCCATCTCTTATTTCTCCTCAGTCATACTCCAAAGACCTCTTCAATGAGCTTTAATGCCTCGTGTTTCCTTATCCATCTTTGTAGTCCGTTCAGTAAATAATCAAACTCAAAATCAAGTTCGATACTTCCTGCATATTTATTTAGACTACATCGAAAATCTATGATAAAAGATATTAAACTAGATGTAAGAAGAAATTTTAGTAATTAATTTGTCTTAATAGAACATTTAATGATATTTGGGACTTGGATAATCATGAGGCGGAAGGTAAGAGGGAACTAATGTTGTAACACCATAGCAACCAAAATATAAATATATCCATATACATGCACTCAGGAACACAGCTGAAAGACGGACATAGACAATCATATCAGATAAAACAAACCTCATTAGTTTCATTAGGAAGTCTTCCTTCATCAGCATTCTGAACTAGTTCTAGAAGGACAGAATCTAGATCGTTCACCGATTGTTCTTTTGCTAGATCTATCAAAATATTGCCAAGACGTGTCATCAATTGTGGTGCTGCGGTAAGAAAATATTTCCGGAGAGTAGCAATTTTCGTCTGACATGATTCTTTCGTGTTAGAGAATGATGGTTGACGCTGTAAATAAGGAGTTGCACGATTCCAAAAAATTAAGAAAATTGGGGGAAAGATAAATGAAGCATGGTCTTCACGAGCCATATTAACTTTAAATGACTCCCTATTTCACTACAAAAATGACTGGGATTATTTTAATTTCGATCACATTTTATTGAAAATTAGAAATTGAACCTAAACATATCTGCTAAACACCTGTAAATACAGTGAATTATAAAAAATCAGTCATGTAACTGAAGCCTCAATATTTTTAGCCTTCCTTTTCAAGCCAAATTACATATCGAAAACTAAAACAAAAATAAGATTTATTATAAAAGAATTAATACTTGAAATTTCATAAAATATTCGGTACGAATAATGTATTTTAAAGGCTCAATCAAATTGCCGAAACATGATATTATTAAGCAGAGGAAGTTTAAATAATTCTCTAGCCAAGAGATTTCAAACGAAGAGAAGCAAATATTAATATTGTGTAATTCTAAAATGTAATGAAGCTAAGATACAAAGGCAACAAGTTACTAATGAGAGAATATAGGTAATTCAAGATAAATAATACAATAGGTTAGGTGTGAATGAGTGTTAATAAACTGTAGAAAAGCAGCATGTCAATAAGAAATGAGAACTCATTTGAATCATAAAAATATGTGCTGAGTGTAGGAGTACACCAGAAGGCTGATATATAACTTCCTGCTTCTAATATATTGCACAATATGACTTTATATGATGTATATATGATAACAGAAGGATGAAGAGAGTGACGTACGCTAAATCTTGAAGATGAAAGAAATAAATTCATGGAAACATTGCTGAATAACATGATGGAGAAGTGAAATGAATAAGT